CGCCAGCTTACTACGCGCCTTGAAATAATATTTGTTCTTTATACTTACTAAAAAAAGTTTAGGTTATGTTTGTCAAAAACAAAAAAAAACTCTTAAAAACTACAAAAAAAATATATATATTAAAACACAAAAATCAACCGCACTGCCGCGCTTGCTGTAACCGCGCGTTCACTACACCGCCGCCGGCGCCATCGCCACCATTTTCGTTTACTTTTTCTTAACCGCCGCTGCACTCTTCGTTGGCGTCGCTGCTGATGTGGCCGTCTTCGACGACGACTTGCCTCCTCCTCCGCTCTTGTCACGCTCTTTGTCGCCATTCTTCTGCTGCTGTTGCTGATGCTGTTCTTCCTTTTCTTTTGTTGCCGGCGCCGCTGCTGGCGTCGTAGTTGATTTCGCCGTCGACTTGGATGTTGTGGCCACCACTGCTTCTTCACTATCCGCTTCCTCCTCTTTCAAAGTGCCAGTTGTTTCTTTTGCTTCCAATTCGCGTTTCTCATTCGATTGATTTGCTGGTAGCGCCTTCAAAATTGCATGCACTTCTTCTGCCACCGCCATCAGTACGAATTCGAATTGTTGCCGCGTAGCGACGAGTCCAGCGCGTTGATCGCGCAAATGTTCCAGCGTGGCTGCGATATCGATCTCGCGCGCCCCCTTATTCATGCGTCCCAGCACGAGATCGAGCAGGATGTAGGCGCCAGTGCGACCAGCACCAGCGCTGCCGTGCACCACAATCGGACAGGAGCGGCCGCGATAGGACTTGTTCACTTTTCTGAAATTAGGCGATGGATAAGGGAAAATATATTAGAAAATTCTTCATATTTCGCTGTATTTTATTATTATTATTCCGCCGTTCACCACATTCTTTTTTTCTCAACATTTTACTTTTATTTTGACGTACTTTTATACCTCATTTCATTCCCACTCTCATTCCTATTTCTATTTTAATTTTGATTTTTTCTTATCTCCTTTCTCAATCTGATTGCCATTCTCGTTTCCATTTTCATTTTTGTCCTAATTTTTTTCCCCATTCTCTTTCCTGTTATCATCTTACTTTCATTCTGATTCTCGTTCCCATTTTCATCAATTCCTCTGTCCTATCCTAATTTTTATTCTCATTCTCCATCTTATTCCCATTCCCATTGTCATTCCGTTTGTTCATTTCTATCCTCATTTCTCTCCGCATTGTTTTTCTCATTCCCATTCTCAGATCATTCCTACTCCTATTCTCATCTCTCCTTCTCATTTTCATTTTCATTATCATTCTTATTATTTTTCTCATTCTAATTCCCACTCCCACTCCTAAATACTCTCAGTATCATCATCATTTTAATTTTCATCCTCATCGTAGCTCTATCTCTGCTTCTATTTCAATTTCTCATCCCTCGTTTCTTTCTTTTGTATAACTTCATCGATTTTGATTATCTAATTCTTAACTTTTTCTTCCTTGACTCTTTCTTTTTCTTTTGCTTCTGCTCACGAATATTTCGTTACATTCATCCTGCTCTTACCTTCGGAAGTCCAACAGCGCTTTAGCTTGCGTCGGCACGCCACCTTGCGGCCAAGAGAGGAAGTGGAACTGTGTCACTGTACGGGTTTCGCTTGTGCGCAAATTTTTCAAATAGAAGGAGCGCACTAGGTAGTCATCACACCAGATGTGTTCGCTCACCAAGTGAACCTAAAATATGCAAATAATACAAATATCAAAAGAGCTCTACTTTATCTTTAATGTATTCTCGCCATGCACTCACCTCATAGATATGATAAACCTCAGCGCCCTCTTCCGGCCAATAGCGTGCGCATGCGATCTCACCATTCTCTTGTAGGCGACACAATGATACAATCACCACAGCGCCTTGTTCCCAAATCATTTGCCAAAAGTGTGCCAGAGTTGTTGGTAAGGGGCCTTGTGCGGCAACGTAGGCCGGTGCGCGTGGATCATGGTCGGTCTGAAATTGAAGAGAGGGAGAGAGTATAAGAAGAAGTATCGATGGTAAACTATCAATTTATGAACAATAACAATTTGCAAGTAACTGTAAGTGTGATAAACATATGGCGAATGATGTACGAATACAGAATTCGGAGGGCTTGTGCTTATCATGTGGAAGCTCACAAAAATTATAAACGCAAACTAAAACCTTTGCATTAAAGTCTTGAAGTTTACAATTCTTAACGGAAATCTTTAAAATATATGTGAAAGCTTAAACATTTGAATGAAAGCTCACTTAAATATTGTGTGAAATCTCGCCACAGTTGTGTGGAAGTTCGTGCTCATAAGTAATTGCTCTAAAGTGACTGTGAAAGCTCCTAAGTCTGCGTAAAAGCACCCCATTTTGAGTGGAAATCGTCACTCTATGTCATGTGAGGGTTCACAATTATAAACTTAAACTGCAACCTCAATATTGAAGTATGGAAGTTAAAAATTTTGAGTGAAATCTTTAAAATATATGTGAAAGTTTAAAAATTTTGATGAAAGCTTATTTGAATATTGAGTGAAATCTTACCCTCACAAGCAAAAATTAATAAAAAAATGTGCGAAAGCTTACATTTTTGGGCGAAAGTTGACACTTTGGAGTGAATGTTAACAATTCTGACTGAAAGCTAAATCTTCTTAGTGGATAGCGTAGCATAAGAAAACCTTCCAAGCATTTCAAATGTAAAAATCCTGATTGAAAGCTCTTTAATGCATGTCAAAGCTTTCACCCGTGTGAAAGTTCGAGCTGATAAGCAACGGCTCTGCTGTGACTGGTTATGTTCTGAAGACCGTGTAAAAACTTAAAATTTTTAGTGAAAATCGCCACTATATGGCATGTATGTATGTATGGAAGCTCATTGAGTGAAAGCTTACTTTTATTTGTAATTTGTTGATACTCTTTGATACGTTGGGGTTTCGTTTTGGAGAGTTTTGATTAAAACGATAATTTGACTTACCGAACAGGGCTTAGTCTACCGAAGTTGGTATAAGCGTCGCCTGAGCACAAGCCCAGGACCTAACTAGTGATGATATTTAGTACCGAAGTAGAAAGTAATTAAATCGCGATTTAGCAAAACGTATTATCAGTACGGCGGCCTGCTCCCTTATTCTAACCTCATCTGAAATAAGATTCCATCTATGCTAAGAACAATCTAACCAGAGAGATTTTGTCTTAAAAACCTTTTTAATAGCTATCTGTATTTCCAAATTTTTCATTCAAGAATCATATATTGCCTGGATAATCAAGATAATAGCTCCAAATCAATCTTCTTATTTACCAACTCGACTTTAAACGATCAATATTTAGAATATAAAACTTACAATTGTCGATGCATTGATGTAATCCAAACCTTCGGCGTTGGCCAAATGGTTGAGCACGACTCTTGAGTGGTCATAGGGCAGCGGAGCGCCTGGTCGATTCAAATTTACGCATTGCG